TGGTGATCACCCCAGGGCTCAAGATGACTGTGCAGGCACAGAGCCAGCAGGGAGGCATTCTTGTAAGGGCCACGGAGGCAGCGGAGCCCTAAGCCTGCTTGGAGGGACTCTGGGGCCAGCACTGTCCTCAGGGTGTCCTCGGCGTCAGCTGGACCCTGCCTGGACGTGACGTGGCTCTGCGCCCACTGCAGTGCCTGGCCAGGCAGCAGGCCGCGTGCCTCCTCCTGCAGGGGAGAGGTGTGCCTTCCAGCGCTGAGCTGCCTGGCACGCGAGAGGCTCTGGGAAAGCCTGTTTCTGTCAGAAGCATTCCAGGTCTTCATGGAAATCCAGAAGCCCTGCTGGCATGTCTGTCCCGACCGTCTTCCCACCAAGCCACGGCCCCTCTCGGGGGAGGACGGGGGGTGGCCACATGCAGCTTTTCCCACCTGCCCCGCCCCGATTCTGAACTTGTGCTTCCATCTGTGCTCATGGGTGTGAAGTGAGGCATGAGACTCGCCCCCTCCTGCATGCAGACCCCTTTCTATGGGACCTGGGGGGCCTCCCTCAGGAGACAGTGCCAGCGCCCACCCCGGGCACGGCCACACAATGTGCTTGGGTCAGTGGGACCCTGGAGAAACGTGACGCACCACGAGAAGAAGCGTCTGCACGTGCGCTGGCCTCTCCCGTGGGCGGGAGTCCTAACTCCATGAGGAGGGACCGGCCACCTCGTGGGGAGGGCAGCCCCTGGAGCCGCGGGGGGCGTGCTGAGGCAGCATGTGCTGGGGGCGGCCAGGCTTCGGTGGGGGGTCCCTTCCCCCAGCAGAGAGGGCACTGCTCGGTCACCTCCTACCCCCCAGGCCCAGTGTGGGGGGCCCCGCTCATCTCAGCTCCAGACTCTAGGAGGGAACTATGTAATTAATGTATATAAATTCAATTTATATGTATTATATAATTTATTGATATATCAGTTAAATTATATTATACATTAAATATGCATAAACTGAATTAATATATATAAATTAAATGTAAGCCATATTCATCTAACTTCCAAGGGCTGCCTCTTAGCCCCCGTTTGGGCCTCTGAGGGGTTTTCTCCTGTGTCGTGGATACAACACGCCCTCATTTCTCTGAAGCCAGGACTTGGGGTCTCCACAGGAGCTCCCTGGAGCTTCCGCAATACGCCAGCACACTCTGGGCCTTGAAAGAGCAGCCACGCCGGGACCGCCTGGCAGGAGGAAGGGACAGGACAGGGATCCGGCTTTGTCCTGGGCCAGGTGTATCGCCTTGGCCTGTGCCTTATTCCATCCCGACACCAGCCTTGTGGGACAGGTGGTGAGGACCTCCCCACACACAGGAGGGGACTGAGCCAGAGACCAGAGGGGCCAAGGGCCGAGCTCCAGGCAGACCCACTGAGGCAGACAGTCCCCGTGACAAGGAGGCGGACAGTCCCCCCATGACAAGGAGATGGACAGTCACCCAGGACAAGGAGGCGGACAGTCAACTGTGACAAGGTGGTGGGCAGTCCCCTGTGACAAGGAAGTGGACAGTCACCCAGGACAAGGAGACAGACAGACACCCATGACAAGGAGGCGGACAGTCACCTGTGACAACGTGGTAGACAGTCCTCTGTGACAAGGAGGTGGACAGTCCCCTGTGACAAGGAAGCGGACAGTCCCCCCGTGATAAGGAGGTAGACAGTCCCCTGTGACAAGCACTGGGTAGCGGGAGGGAATCGCTCGTTACCGGGAACACGGGACTCTGCAGGGTGGTATCCTCACACCATTTCCCAACCCCTTCACGCCACAGTGACAGTTCTGACCTGAGCATCACGGAAACACTTCACACTTTATGTGAAACTGTGGCAGGTCTGCATGTGGAGGGGGGTGCCTGGCCTTCCACGACTGCGTTGTGCAGGGCCCCGCCAGCCGCTCGCCCCAAACCCCAAGGACTGCGTTTCCCAGGCTCCTTGCACTTAGGGCGGGGACACGTGACTGGTTCCATCCAAAGGCATGTGCCCCCTGCCTTATATCAGTTCATCTTCCAGGTACCCTCTGGGGTGGAGGATCCTCTTACCCCATTTTGCCACGAGCTGTCTGAAGCATGGAATGCAGCACGGAATGTGGTTACCTGGGGGCCCCCCAGGCCTGCGCCAGCCGTCTGGGCCTCAGGCGGCCTTCCCCACCAGGAACCCTGCCCCTGCAGGCCCATGTGCACTGGGCTGTCCTGGTCCTACCAGGTGGCAGCAGGCCCCTCACCCAGGCCTGCGGCAGGGCCTCTGACCCCTGGTGCTCCCCCCATGGGCCAGGGCGGAGGCGCCAGGTCCTGTGTGGCTCCCAGTGCCCTGGGGGCTGGTTTGTCTCATTGGTTCTGGCCCCAGACGTTTCTGGTCACCAGTAGTGACCGGACTGGGAGTAACCTTCTGTGCCCACCAGGAGAGAGAAGTTTACTTGGAACTGGGCAGAATCTGCACCCCACACCCAGTGAGGCCACCCCAGTTCCCATGAGACCATTAAAGGGCATGCTGCGCCCTCCCAATGGAAGACGCAGGAAGTGCCTTACCAGCTTCAGAACCCTCCCATTCAGCAAGTCTGGGGTGGGTGACTCACATTTTTTATGGAATAACTTTGAAATCCTATGATAAAAAATTAACCTCCTCAGCTGTGTAAAGACTTCTGGCCACTCCATCGGCCTTAGAAAACAGTCTTGCAAATTTAAGCATAAATTAATGGCATGTGACGCGGAGGCACAGGCCAGCTCTTCATGGGCTGTAAACCCAGCTGTGGGTCAGAGTGATCAGGCATCAGAGCTGGGCGCCGGCCCCGCGGTGCTGGGCAGCACCTCTGTGCCCCAGGCTGGCTTCCCGCCGCCTCACGTGCGCCCGCCTCGCTCTGGCTCTGCAAAGGGAGACGGACAGCTCTGGGGTGGGGCACACGGGCTGGCCAGGGCCGCCCCTGCCTCCGACCCAGCCTGCGGGCTGGCCCCATGGCCTCACAGAGCCTCAGATCCCCTCACCCAGACACGCCTCATCCACAGAACAGGGACAGCCACGCATGCCACGCACGGTGGTGGGGAGGGCGGAAGGACACGGGGAGCATGGACACCCCCCCACACACACAACACGCTTTTGCTTCCCTGTCCCTCTGCAGGAAGCTGGGAGAGGTCCTGCTTGTCCTCAGAGCTGACCATGCCAACCTATGTGCTCTGGGAGCCCCTGCCCAGGGGATGTGGGGGGCCAGGCCTCCTGTGCAGCGGCCTTGCCTACTGCTGCAGAGCCGCACAGGCAGGGACCCCAGGCTCCTAGTTCTGGCCTCCACAGACATGGGTGCCTAGCACCCAGCACCCACCATGGCTCACACCACGGCCCGAAGGCCAGCACAGCATGGGTGAGGCAGGGCGCTGTCCTGGTGGTCTTGGCGGAGGCAAGGACAGGCCAGTGGAAGGGTCCTGGGTGACCGGTCCCCGTGGCAGAGCTCCACTCAGCCCCACATGTTCTCAGCTGCCTTCCGGTCCCCCTGGGGCTGGGCAATGAAGAACAGGAGCCCCAGTCCCGCTGCTCCGCAGACTGCGCCCCTGGCCCGCACCAGGGCCTCCCCAGCCTCTGGGAGACCCCTGCACTTCAAAGCTTCCCGGCCGGCTTGCTCTCGGTGACTCCCCCAAGACTTCTCACCTCTGCCCGCGCACAAGGTAAGTCATCCTGCGGAATCACGTCTGGGACGCCCTGGACGACCCGCTGCCATCAGCTACCACGTGAGTGGAGAAAGCACCAGAGGCCAGCCAGCGGCGGAGTTTCAGGCCTTCCCTGGACCCCACCCCTCCCCACCGCGGGAGCCCCACAACTGCGCCTACACTGGTTGCCCACGGGGGAGTAAACCACAGGGCGCCCAGAGCCCTGGAGTGAGGGCAGCAGGCCTCTCTGAGCCCCAGGTCCTGACCCTGAAGTGGGCAGAAGACCGTGGCGGCAGGCGGAGGGTGGAGGCAGGCAGCGCGCCTGGGGCTCTGACCCCATCTGCCCATGCTGGAGCCTTGCCTTCTGCTGCCTCCACTCACAGGGGTCATCTGAGGGGTCCCCCTGCTCAGCCCCTTCCGCCCTGGCCTGCAGCATCCCAGAGGGGGGCAGATGGGGGCCTGGGCCTGGCACTCGATGCTTCCTTGTGGCCCGCCAGGCTGAGCTCCCAGGCGCTCCTGCTGGCCTGCTCAGTGGCCAGCAACACTAAAGACCCATGCTGGCAGGAAGCAGCAAGGACAGGCTCCGGAGGGACACAGTGATGGCTGTGCAGGACACAGTGCCTTGGGGACATCAGGGAGGGCGACAGACACAGCTGGAGGCAGAGGAGAGGCTCAGAACGCTCCTGTGTGAAGGGGGTGCCCCCAGGGAAGGACGTGCAAGCAGGGTGGCCCAGCCACGCAGGATCTGAGGTGCAGCCCCATGTGAAAGCCAAGTCCCTTTGACGCCCTTTGTCCCTTTGTGGGACTCACAGGGTCACTCCCTCCAGCAGCAGGGATAGCTTCAGGCCCCGTTCTCCCCCCAGAAACCTGGGGTGTCAGGCTACATGCCCTCAAAGCTTCCCTCTAGACTTCAAGCATAAGTGACATCACTGTGGTCCAGCCCGGCCCGGCTGCACCCTCACCCTGTCTTCAGAAACCACCGTGGGTCAGCCCGTGCAATCAGGACTGGTGGGAAGGGGCTGTGGACGTCAGGGACACCCCCTGATCAACAGTTCACAGCCCTTTCCTCATCCCCTCAATGAGAAGGCCTCCATTCCTGCAGGACCCTTCCTGGGGCTTCGGAGCCCGCTGCAGCCCTAGCAGCACCCGGGCCATTTCAGGGCAGCTGGGCCACTTTGCAGCAGGGGCCCAGGATCTAGAGCCTGGACCTCAGTTGTGTCCAGGCTCTCAAGGCTGCGTGCAGTGGTGGGAGACGGCAGAGTCTCTGGAAAGAAAGGGCTGCACTCCCTCCAGCAAGGCCCACTTTGTAAATCAAGCCCCTGAATCATTCACGAGCCCCACCTCTGCCCTCCTACCTTCTCTCCCGCGAGGGGATGGTGAGGATTCATGCAGAGCACCTTGCAGTCAGAAGCCATTAAAGATTTAGCACAACACAGACAGCTGCCATCTCCGGGGGTTGTCCAGGAGGCAGCAGCTTAGGTAAAACCATTGTAGATCTTTGCTCTTGACAAGAAGACACGCGGCGTGGGGCAGAGCAGAATCGATCCTTCCTCGCGCTCACACGGGCCCTGATTATTCCCCTAAAAGCTGTCAGATGCTGAGCAACAAGACATACTCCCTGCCCTGTCTTCTGAGGGTCTTTGGAGACGGGTGGCAGTGGAGGGAAGGCAGCAAGTGGGGAGCCTGTGGCCGTCAGGGCTGCATGAGCACATCAGGGGCTGCCTTTCTGGCTTCACCCTCTGTGTCGGGGCTCCACCACCCTGTGATGAGGGTGCGCAGCCCCCAGGAGCTGGCCTGCATGGTTCTGGTGTCCTGGCCTGTCCTCGCCCTGCCCCGGCACCACCAGCCTCTGCCTGGGGCTGCAGCAAGGTGATCTGCTGCTTGAATCTGCACTAGAGCAAAGGTGGACTTGAGTGTGAATTGCAGACACATCGACATCCATCCAGCAGGTAACCCACACACCTGTGAACAGATGCAAACAGCAGGTGATAGAAGCTGGGTCCTCCGGAACACTCCACCTGGGCTCTGAGCTCTCCTCTGCATGTCAGCATGTGCCCTTCTGGCGCCAGTGGGCACTGGGGAGCAGCTGCCGAGCACCTCGGGCTGGACACATTGGAGGCGTCCTTCAGGCACGTTCTTGGTGGGCTCTGGACCCCACACCCAGAGACGCGTCTCCCTCTACCTCTCTTTCTGGGAAAAGAACATGCTCCCAGGAGAGCAAGCCTCCAAGAGCCGCCACCACGCCTGGAGGGGCCTGCCCACTCACAGGCCCACCACCCGACTTCTCAACAGTCCTCTGTGGCTGCAGCTCGGGGGCTGTGTCAACTCAAGCTCGGGGTGTTTAGGCTAGGGCAGTATTCACTGAGGAGGCCCTGGGCCCTGGCTACAGGAACACCCGCAGGGCTCTGCACGCCCACACACTGACAGCTTCCGGCACAGACCCGGAATTTCAGTCCACACCCTCCCGGCACATTGCAAACAGCTTTGAATTCCCAAACCTCTGAGGTGAGGCCCAAGAGCCGGAGATAGATGGCTCCCTCTGGCCACATCCCAGCTGAGGACTGCTCCACGCTGGGCCCACAGGGGCCTCCAGGTCAGAACTAGCCAGTTGCTGCTAAGACAGGCTAACCGGGCCAGCCCAAAGAGCCTGGTTCCAAAGTAGGAGGCATGGAGAGGAAATTTTTGTTAACCCACAACAATCTTAGGAGCTGAAGTAACATTTTCTCAAGTTTCAAGGCATCCACCCACTGCCCTAGATGTGAAACAGGAATCCTGAGTTTACAAGGTTCTCAGGCTAGAATGGTGGTGTTGGCACCCTGTCAATTCCCACCCACAAGCCAAGAGCATCCAGCCGAGCAGCAGGACCGGAGAGGCGGCCTTCGGGGACTGGGCTGCAGTCTGTGAGGGGTCTGAGGTCAGCTGCTGCCTTGTCTGCTCGTCCCAGGACAGCCCCTGGTGCTGTCTGGTTAGCAGCAGGGTTCAAGCCCAGGCACCCCCTGCCCCACCTGTGTAGCAGGGGCCTGATGCCCCTGGGTGCAGGAGGGTGAGGAGACAGCCTGTGCACCAGGGAGGCCTCCCCAGCCCACTGACAGCCCCGCTCGGGGCTGGGGCTCAGCTCGCCCTTCCCTGAGGGCCCTGGACACCGAGGCATGACCATGCTCTTGGCTAGTGACTCCTCCTCCCTGCACGCCTCCAACACACACACACACGCACACACACACACACCATCCTTAGAAAACTCTGCTCCACCAGTGGACAGGGTCATTGTCTAAACCCCATTTGCCCCAGTGATTATTGAGTCTGTGTGTCAGCTTAGATGTGATTAACATTTACAATCGTTCGACCTGTAGCAAAGCACCCTCTGTCATGTGGAAGATCTTAAGGGGAAGGACCGCGGGGTCCTGGAGGTGCCCTGCCTCTGGACCGCAGCACCGGCTCTTCCCTGCACCCCGGCCCCTGGCCTGCCTGCAGGCTTCAGACTTGCCAGAACCCACGATCTCAGGACGGGAGCGCATGTCCTGTCAGTTCTGTTTCTCCAGACAACACGGCTGACACAGCCCCTTGGTGCAGATAATTGGAGAAGATTTAAACAAGAGGAAGTGATGTACAGACACTGGTGCTGGGAGCCCCTCGATGTTCCTGCTGTCCCCGAAGGACCCTGGGTCTGCATAGACGCCTGCTGCAGAGGGGGAAGTGGAGGCGGAGCGGGGAGGGCCTGGGAGGCCGGCCTTTGTGCTGTCACCTCCCAGAACTCATGCTCCCAGGTCGTCCTGGGGCCCAGAGCTCATCCTCTCCACATCCTCCAAACCCCTGTGCAGGGATTTTGTGGGGATGCGCCCATGCTGGGGGCTTTCTCTCAAGTCAGTCCCCACCCCTCAGGGGCCCCACCCCTTGACCTTGGCGCTCCCGAACTCTCAGCTGCCCTCCGTGATGGGCACAGGGCAGGGCTGTGGGCGCATCGCTGTCGGCCGCCAGTCCCTCCGAGGGCGGCCTCAGCTGCAGAGTCTGCCTCGCCCAAGGGCATGACCAATGAGGCGTATCAAGGCCCCGCCACCTGGGCGCTCAGCGCACTGCTGCAGCTGCGTGCCCCACCGTGGGCGCCGGCACCCCGCACACCAAACGCCATCCAGCTTCCTGGGGAAGCGCGCATGCACACCGGCCCGCTCACCACCAGGCCGCTGTCAGGGCTGGAGTCCAGCTGCACAAGCACACGTGTCTGCACACATGCACACACACTCGTCTGCTCCCGCATGGGCCATGAGGTGAGCTCAGGGAGGCTGCATTCCAGAAGTGGCCCCCAGAGCACTAACACACTCACTGCACAGAGCAGGCAGCCCCGGAGGAAGCCGTCCTGGTGAAGATGCCCCAGGCTCACCGGGGTCCGGGGCAGGCAGACTGGAGAGTGGCGGCTGGTCAGCTGAGGCAACAAACACGTACCAGGTTTGGGCGCCTGCTCGGTGCTGCCCAGAGAGGCTCCTCCCCACTTCAGCCCAGGGGAGGGCAGGACAGGGGCGAGGGCTCCGGAGGGGCGAGGTCACTGCTGGCCCAGCCCCCTGGGCAGCAGGGAGCCCATGGCCAAGGCAGTAGCCTGCCCAGGCCTCTGCTATTCCATCTGTAAAGGAAAGGCCCAACTGTGCGGGCACACTCCCTGTGGGGAGAGGGACCACAGCGCTGTCCTCTGCCATCCTTGCCCTGCATCATGCTGAACACCGTGCCCACGACAGAAATAGAATGCATCTCAGATCTCAGTTCAAGAGAAACACACAATATAAATAAAGAGAAAGAAATGATTGCTAATTAAATCCTCTTTAAATTTAGTGTGAGATGAAGCAGAAACTTACGGAGTCTGAAAGTTGGCACTGACAAATTTTTTTTTCTGAAAAATGCTAATTTAGAAGTGATGGACTTATTTAGCCACCACGGGTACTGCTATTCTGAATAATGCATTCTTGGGGGGATTCCGAATGAAGCCCAGAGCATAAGTTTCATTCCTGGAGGATGTCTCCCCAAGGAACAGGATGCAAGGAAGGTGGCCAGGTGACCCCGAGGTCACGGCGCAAACCCTGGAAACCGGGAAACCCAAGGGAATAAACCAAAGAAGGACGGAGGTAGGGGGCTTGGCCTCCGAGAGGGGCAGGCAGGGCGCCTCCTGGGGAATGGGACACAGCTCTGTTAGGCAGGAAAATAGGTATGAGCGGGCTGGAAAGGGAATAAGGCCAGGAAAGCCCACTAAAAAAAACCCCAGAGTTAATCAGTTAAAACTCAAAAGCCCGGAATAACTTGGCCTGGAATGTTTGAATGTTCCCCAGATAAAGGAAGGTACCTCAGCATAGCCCGTGTCTTTATTGTGTTAATCACGCAGGCCCTGCCGTAGGCAACATAGTAGAAGGCAGGAAGGATTCCATCTTAAAAATAAGATTGCATTTTAATACCCAGGAAGTTAAGAAGTAAGATTCCGAACTTACTCTTTAGCAACCAGACAATAGCTCAGCCCACCTTGGGGCTGGGCAGGCGGCCTGTGGGATCTGCTCCCAGACCAGGAAGCCGGTACCCCAGGGGGAAATCAGAGCAGGAAATTCCTTTTGTTAATTTTAAATATTCAAAGATCACTTAACAAGTCTGCACCCCCAGCCTGCGGTCATACTCCTAAAAAGCCTTAGAAGGGGGAACCCCAGCCCTTCAGGGCGCTCCTCTTTCTGACGGTGCCCTCACTTCCTACACGCGTGACCTTTGAATCTTAAACTTTCTCTCTCCAACCTTTCAGGGCGCCTCATCCTGCTTTTTCTCTCTTTAAGTAACTTTCAGTAAAACTTTCACTCTGCTTCGCTGCTGTGTCTCTGACCTTCAAGTCTTTGTTGCAGGGGGACAAGGACCAGGAAAATACACACACTCCCCCAACAGCTCTGTAGTCGGTCTGTGGAAAAGGGCTTTCCTCCTGCGGCCAGACCCACATCTCCCCTCGTGAGAGCTCCCAAAGCATCCCAGTGAAGCCCCAACCCTCCCCAGCCCCCCTGGGGCTGCCCAGCTCCCCCCTGCACCCCCCACGGCCTGCCCCTCCTCCATCTGGAGCCCATATTCTTCCGGCCCTGCACTTTGCCCACCTCTGCCTCCTGCCGCTTGCCTCACACCTGGGACCTGCCTGTCACCCTCTCCTGATTCTGCGTGACAGTCTTCCTGCTCAGGGCAGACAACAGATGTGTGTATACATGTGTACCTGTGTGTCTATATGGGTATGTGTGAACCCACATGTGCCTGGTGAGCACACATGCCTGCATGTGGACATATGTACATATAAGTATCAAATATTTTAGTCAAATATATCAAGTAGAGATCAAGCCATATGCGTTTGTCAAAGGCAGTTCTAATTAATTTAAAATTCAAAATTATGTATTAAAATGAATGACAAATATGACTTATAATAAATATTGAAATTTTAAATCAAAATTATTTTAACAAAATTGACTTTTTAAAATTAACTTGCTAGCTGGAAATGACACTTTGTTTTGCAAACATCCCTTCCACTTGTGCCCACAGCTGGGGCTGGGCCGGTTACCGATCTGCCTTATTTTGCCTGACCACTTTGGCTGCCGGAACCGCCTTGCCCTCGGAAGAGCTTTCAGCCCAGGGTCGCAGCTCACCAACCACACGTGCCTGACATGACCACCTTTGGTTTCCAGGACCTGTGGCAAGATGTGGCAAGACGTTCCTTGGGCATACACGCCCAGGTGTGCTTAATACATTGTGTGTGTGCACGTGGTGATGCATGCACGTGTGTGTGTGTGTGTGTGTGTGTGTTACACAGTGTCCGCACAGTAGTGCAGGGCCCAGAGCAGGGCCCTGCTGGCTGGGGCTAAGGGTGACAGCCTGTTCAAGGGTGTGCCCTGTGAGCATGGTGCATGCACATGGTGAAGGCTGTGCATGCATGTGTACCTTGTACCGCAAGAGGAGTGTGTATGTGTGCACATGGGTGTGCACGGATGCATATGCTTGGGTGCCTGTGGGGATGCACTCACATGTGTGAGGGGGTGTGTGTGTGTGCACTAGGTGTATTTGCATAGTGTAGCAAGAAGGGCGGCCGATGCACCAGGCTGACTGGCACACCTCCTGCTCAGCCTCATCTCTGGTGCCCAAGGGGCTTCCCTTCACTCTGCCAGGTCCCTCCTCAGCCGGCTGGGTCCTGGGCAGTCTGACCCAGGAAGGAGTCGCCCTGACCAGTGTCTCCCCCCAGAGGCAGTGGGGCCCCCTGCAG